ACACACACACACACACACACACACACACACACACACACACACACACAGCAAATGAACCCTGAGAAGGGACTGTGGACATGTTTAACCCTCTCCTTTTTGCTAAAGCAAAGGTCCTAATGATGGATGTCTCTGTGCAAGCCTAAAGCAAACACAGGGAGAAATGTTCATGGCTTCATCTCTATATACATGTGGCCAGACAAAAGCACAGGGGGTATGGTTTACTTCCTTGGTGAGCAGGAGAGGAAAAGCACAGTTAGCATGCCTTTTGATGAGAACTAGAACTTGGAAGTATTCATAGGCAGCCATGTGGCGGGGCATTTAACTAGCCTCAACTGGAGCCTACGCAGGGCAGGACCCCATCACGAGCAGGGTGGACAGGAAGGCATGAAGTCTTTGAGCCCACTTAAGTCTGTCCATTACCCACACAGGCATCTCCTTTACATACAAATTGGGTCTTGTTTCCTCTTGAGACACTGTTCACAGATTCACTCTGCTTTTCACACCTTGGGAAGGGATGAGAGTCAAGAAACAATCACTTGGCTTTTCACTCCCTCAGAGGGAAAGGGGAAATATTTTGAAGGGAGGGGGAGTGTGAAGTCCTGCCTGTGACCGGCCTGCATATTTACCCAGCACTTGCTATGCATCAGGCTCTGTCTAATGACTTGTGGCATTTTTCATTTTTGTCTCCCAACAGGCCCTTGCAAGAAGCACTGCTTTCAGCCTCATTTTAAGGTGGAGAATTGACATATACACAACTGAAGTAGTATGCAGCAAATCACATGCTACCTGTGTCCAGGAGCTAACATGTCTAAGACCCAGTAGGCCTGTGAGTATTTGTTACCTAAAAAGAGAGTCTGTACTTCCAGCAATGGTGGGGGAGGGGCTCAGAGTGGCTACCTCGGGCTGCTTCTGTCCCCAAATACTCCCTAAGTCCTCAAAGCCTCCTGGAAATGTCTGGAATGGGCACTCTCCTCCCTCCTACCCCATGTCCGGGAACACTCTTAACTTTCTTACTCTTTCTGGGATGGAAGGAGTCATTTTGGAAGCTACAGATGGAACAGCAGATGGGAAGTGAAACCTATCAGAGTTGCCCAGGATGAAACCATTCATCTGCAAAATCCATATGTTTTTGTGTGGGGAGACTTCATAGAAACAACAGCAAGAGAAAACAGCAGAGCCCGGGGCAGGAGGTGCCTCTGGCCATGAGGCTGGCAGGACAGAGAGCGCATAAGAGATGAGGGGGTGGGTGTGCACCCTGGCAGCGACCTAGGAGTGAGAGGGGGAGCAAGCCAGGCACAGAGACAAACACTAAGTGTAAAGCCAGGGGAACCACAAAGAACACACTTCCTGCGCACATGGTCTGAGAAAGACAGCCAGGACCCTTGCAAATGTAAAAAACTGCAGCCTCGGTTGCAACTTAGATGCCAACGGTTGATGTGCTCTGAATGTCTCCCAAGTGCCAGGTGCTCGGCTACAGTCTGTGGTTACCCCCTGGTGTCACGTGGATGGGTTTATGTTCTTGTAAGTCTGCTGCTGCTTTGAGAACTGATCTCAGACATTTCCATGCTGAGCAGTCTGGTGAGAGTCTGAGCCTATATCCTGTTGGACACTGACCCTTCTGAATAAGTGGCCATGCTGGGTCTGCAATCAATGCAAAGCAACGTTTCTAGGGCGGGGGGCAGCTGTGGGTATGCCTACCTGGCATGCTTCCTTCTGGGTTTTTCTAGGCAGCTTGCAGATAGTCCAGTCTCCTGATTTTCCCAAGAGGTACGTTTTAAGCAGGAAGAACCTCTACTTTAGAAATGGACAGAACTGGTTCTAATCCTTGCTTTGTCATGTGTTCACTGTATGACTGTGGACCTCGATTTCGTCACCTAACTGCTGAGTTCCCTACAAAAGCTCAAGGAATGCCCTTCCATAGTAGCTGCTATACACAGCATTTTGGAGAAATTTCTGAATTCAGTCCTTTATTGGAAGACAGACAGGGAATGTTCTGACTAACCCTTGCCCTATTTTTGTCTTCCTTGAGTCACCTTTCCTCAGGCTGTTGCTCCCTAAACTCCATCCATTTTTAGACTTCTCAGATGCAAATATTCATTTTTTATTACTAACTTTGCCTATTATACTTTCTCTTATAAAGAAAATTTTCTTGTATAAACACACAATGGCTCCCAACTGCAGGTGATCTGACCCCACGGGACATTTGACAGTATCCTCAGACATTGTATGAGAAGGTCATAAATGGGCAGAGCATGCTATCAGAAACTTGTGAGTAAAGACCAAAGACACCGGTAAACTGTTGACAGTGCAAGGGTTAGCCCCATAGCAAAGAATTAGCCAGGCCCAAATGTCAATAGTGGGTGGCTCACAAGCCCTGTTCCCAAATGTTCTTCCATGTTCTTCAGTGCTCCACCACCCTTGCTTGCCTACACATCTTGCTCTAGAGTAAAAATTCCAGGGACTTTCTCACTTCCACTGGGTGACCTTGCTTGGGCTGCTGTAAGCAACCTCCATTTTACTAGCCTAGTCGGATGCACATCAACTATTGGCATCTAAGTTGCTGTGAGGTCAACATCAAAGTCAGACCTGTCCTTCCTCTGTTCAAAACACACACCTGGCTTGGAGTAAAAGTTCCCGGACGTAATCTAGAACTACTCTCTGACCTTGTGTCTTGTTACTCTGCCTCTCTCTATCTGTTACAGCACTACGGAGCCCAACTTCCTCTTGCCCACACCAGGTACATTCCCACCTCAGGGCTGGCCCAGCTCTTCTCTGCCTGGGAACACTTCAGAAGGTGCAGTGCCATTTAGTTCATCTTCTCCTATTGTTATTCATAAGGCTTCCCCTGGCCTTTTTCATTAAGGACACAATGCTCTCCCACTTCTGCTTTCTGAATGCAATGCTGGCTGATCTCATAGAGAAAACACAGCTCATCTCATGAGGCAGGGTGCCTTGCCGGGCAGGAAGCTGATTGCCTGTGAGTCCCTGAGTCCTCACTCTTGTTATATGAAGGGTGAAGGGAAGCAGAGCCCTGCACCCTGGCTGCCTTGGCGCTCTTGATTGGCCTCACCTGATGGGGTAGTCAGCAGCACTGAGGTTGATGAAGAAGTCCCAGGGCCAGTCAGTCATCTCCAAGAGATCCCGCATGCTCTGCAGGTAGGTGGACAGGAGGCTGGCGCCGCCCCAGATGGTGGCCATCCTCCAGGAGGTGACACGGACATTGTCGTACTGGCTGGAGAACTGGAGCACTTGCCGGTGCAGGTAGTTGGAACGCTTTTGCCAGGAGAGAAAAGGTGAGAAGGGGGCCCAGTCAAGAACACAGAAGCCATCAGTCCCTACATCCCACTACCTTACTCCCTTGGGGCTGGTATGGCTGATCACCGTGGAACTGGCTGCTGCGGCTGCCAGACTGGAGTGTCTTTCCACATCAGTATTAAACCATTGGCTACTGAAGTTCAGATTCCCAAGCCCAGTGCTGAGCTAGCCAGCCAGGGGGCTTGAGATGGTGGGGCCTAGGGCACTGCATGACTGATGGTAGATGGCTGCTGTATGTACCAAGCTCAAAAACATGGGCCTATCTAAATTTGGTGAGTCTTCGGAGGCAGGAGGTAGAGTGTCTGTGTTGTACCCTTCAGGACCATTTCTCTTCCCTTACTGTTTTACAGGCTGACTAGAAACGCATCTTGGAAACGAAAATAGCCCTTGTGTCTCTTTAGGTTTATTAGTGTTAAAGCTATAGCTGAGCCTTGTACTTGGTAGGTGAGTGTCCTATTGATGACTTACAACCTCAGCCTGTGGTTTTCTGAGAAGAAAGTGTCAGCTGGCACTGGACTTAACTTCAGAGCAACCTTCCCATTTCCACCTTATGTGTTCTAGGGTTCTAGACAACAGATTAACTGAAACATCTAAGAAAAGATGGCTCTGAGGTCATCAAGCCAAGTGTAGGTTTTGGTGATAAGATTTTAGTGCCAAACAGCCACACCCATTAATTAACAGTTTCCTGGGGTTGCAATCAGGCAAGGGAATCACTGATTCGCATGTGGTCTAAAAGGATACTTCAACTACCTGCACTTTTTCAGAAAAAGTGAACCCATTCCTGGGATAGCTAGCTTCACAGATCTGTGAGGGCAGGCAGGGGGCACTAGACAGAGATAGGAAGAGAGGTAAAAAACACAGTACAAGTAGGTTTTGAGAAGAATTGCTTGTATGTGTTATATGATGTAGGAGGAAGATAAACACTAGCAGTAACATGTTAAAGAAGGCCCATGGGAGGATCTGGGAGGATCTGATCACACACACACACACACACACACACACACACACACACACACAAAGAGAAGTATTATAGATATGCTAATTTCTTAGACCAACTGGCTCAGGATGTATACATACATCAACATATCAAATTGTACCCCATAAATATGTGTAATTATCATGTGTCAAGGAAGAATAAAAAGACAAACAACCAGAGGAATAATATTTACAGCAAAAGTTGAGTGCCACAGCTAAACATTCTGAAACCCGCACACACTCTCACACAATCCCACATACACCTTACTCAGGAACCACATGCTGCTTTTCCATCTCTAGACATCAGTTTGGACTTGTGAGGTGGGAGGAAGGATTGGAGACAGATAGAAAGATGGCTGAGAAAGCCCAGCACAGTAGCAGCATGGCTCCTTACCTTATCCACGTGGATATAGTAGAAGTGGTCTTTGTGGTAGATGGCCTTAAACATGCGCTGTAGCTGTCGAGAGGCGCGGCCATGGACCACCAGGACAAAGGCGATTCTGACTGGGTTGGCAGGCATGTACTCCACGGCATCCTCATCCCACTGGACATTCTTGTTGGCTTTGCCTGGGGGGAAACCGGAAGATCATGGAGATGAGCTTGAGAATGGCCTGCCCTTCAGGAAGCAGGGACTGTCCCCTAAACTTGCCCTGGGGACAGGAGCACAGCATCCATATGGAATCCTAGAGCCTGATTCAGCTGAACTCAGCAAGTCCTAGACCCTTAATGCTGTCCAGATAGAAGGCGGCAGGAGCCCCTGTGGTGCTTATGGCACTCCTGTCCTACCACGGGAGTTTGAGAAGGCTGATACATACATTCAACTATGTGCTGACTAGTTTCATGTCAAATTGACACAAGCTAAAGTCATCTGAGAAGAGGGAACCTCAGCAGGAGGGCCCAACCCATTATGGGTGCCGCCATTCCTGGGCTGGTGGTCTTGGGGTTTTATAAGAAAGAAGAATGAGCAAGCTACTATTAGCAAGCCAGTAAGCAGCACCCTCCACGACCTCTGCATCAGCTCCTGCCTCCAGGTACTCATTTCCTTCAGTGATTAACAGTAACATGGAAGTATAAACCAATTGAACCCTTTCCTCCCTAAGTCGCTTTGGTCATGATGCTTCACTACAGCAATAGTGATCCCCTTGTCTCTGCCTCCTTGGAACAGGAACTGCAGGACTTGCTTTGTTACACAGGTGCTGAGGATCTGTCTTTGGCTCTCCGTGCTTGTGCTACAAGCACTTTACCAACTGAGCTAGAGCCTCAGCCCATTGTCTGACACTTTCTGTGCCTCCTTCTCCTGTCCATGCTCGGTCTGCAGATGTGGAAGCATGATCTTGATTTATCAATCCAGAGGTGGCTGTAGTTAGGACTGGCTGTCCACAGCTTGGTACTCCCTTGGTACAACACTGTTCAGATGGATGGTTGGGTCAAACAATGAGTTTGCCAAGGGGACAACGCCTTAGTCTTGTTGGAGCTATTAGATAAAGAAGCCCTTGCTGCACTTCAAACTGGAAGATGTTAAGAGCCTTTCCATTCTCACATGGAGAGAAGTTGCCGAAAGGAAACCCATACAGAGGGAAGCTCTTCTGAGGTGCGGCTAGTCCCTAAGCCCTAATGACCCAGTTGAGCTCCAGAATCAGCCAGGCTGGAGATCTGACACCCAATCCATGTGGATAAATGGTTCTAGGCAGCTTTTATGCCCAAATCAGCCTTAGAGAATCCCCATCTTCAGTGCCAAGACCAGTGAGTAAGAGCCTCCCAGTTCTGAGCATCACTGGTCTGACTCAGTGCTGTCTGGCTTTCCCTAGACTGATCTCTTGCAGTCTAACTTTATTCCCAGACCAGAACGGTGACACAAAACTGTAATCCCAGTATTTAGGACACTGAGGCAGAATTCTAGGCCAGTCTAGGCTATGTAGTCAAACTTATGTTTTAAATCATTCCTCTCTTTATGAATGACAAAATCAATCAAACAAAACCTACACACCAACAAGAGTAATGTTTAGATCACACAGTTAAGCTTTTGGCTCGACACAGCTGCTCCTTTGACCTCTGCTCTGAGTGCTCACATGTCTAGCTCGCCCCTGGAATTCTTGCTTTTCACCTGCACAAACTCCTTTATCTTGGGGCATTTTGACAGTGATTCCTGATCCCTGGACATCCTCTTCCTTGAGCTTAACATGGCTACACCTTCTTGTCACCAGCGCAAGTCCCATAAAAGATTATCTTTACTCTCCGTCTCTCACTTCACCTGTTCCAATTTTCTGCACATCATTTAACACCATCTGAAGTTGTTTATGTGTCTGCTTGTTTATTATCTGAGCATTCTGCTAGAGCATAAGGTGCAGGAGATGAGGGACTTTATCCATCTTATTTACCATCAGATACATAATGCTCAGGTAAAATCCAACACACAGCAGGTGCTTTGTGAAGAACAAAAGCTTCAAGAGGTACATGTTGGCTCTGTCCAATAACAATACCTGTTTGGAGCTCTGGTCTGGCTTTGATCTCATTATTTCATTAATCCTTCTGACAACCTAGCAAGGTTGCTCTTACCTCCATTCTTCGGATAAAAACCCATGGCTTAGAGAGGCCAAGGGATTTGTTCAAGGTCATGCAGCTTTAATTAGTTAAGCTGAGACGCAAACCTAGGTCTTAAAGACCATGCCCTTAACCACTAACTTAGACTACACAACCACACTGAGACCTTGGAGAGAAAAGATGACAATGGTGTTAATGAAATACCTTGTAAATTATTGCTGGTAAGAAGGCAGGGACCTAGAGGCTTTCATAGGGGCTGTGAAAGACTTTCTGTATTTGATGAGGGATTGATTCTAGATGACAAATAAAGCTACATATATCCACTCATCCATTTGTCTACCAACTCCATCCATCCACCCACCCACTCACCCACCCACCCATCCATCCATTTATCTTTCCATCTACCCACCAATTTCACTCATCTACCTACCCACTCATCCATCTAACTATTCATCTACCTACTTATTTCATAGCACAATATCATGTATACATGCATGAACAAGCACATATGTGTGCACACACCCACACCCATTCTATCTACCCATCTACCCAGAAATTCACTCCATCTATCTACTCCCTCCCTCCCACACACCTACTTCATCCACCCATCCATCCATCCAAACTCAGGAGGCCATTCAACTACCCATCTTACAGTCTAACACACCAAACGCCAATTATTCATTGACCACTCATTTTGGTTTTAGTCACAGGATCCCTTGCCAGAGTTGCTGAATGAGTGAATGAATGAACAAATGAATTCTGAGGAAGAGTGGGTGCTGTGTTGGCTCAGAGCAGTTTACATTTCCTAGGAGTCTGCCACACACTAGCACTCTCATGGAGGCTTCGGGCCCTTTGTTATTTGGTCTTGGTTAAGAACGCATTAGCACTGTTTGAGGCTTAGAGGGTTTGGCATGTTTCCCAGGTCACACAGTGAAGGCAGAGGTGGAAGTAGAAGCTGAATAGCCAAGTCCAAAGCCATCCTGCTGTGTCCACTTGTCCTGCGCCAAAGAGCAGTGTCAGGCAGTGACCAGGCCTGGTACAGTGACCCTGCACTGTCCTTTAAAGGGACTTGGGCATAGATGCTGATAAAACAACCACCACCACAACAATAACAACAACAACAAAAAGCAACAACTTTTGTAACTTCTCTTTATGGCGTTAGCAGGACATATTAGCTCTGAAGTAGGGAAAGGAGTGTTTGGAAATTCGATCACGTCAGTGAAATGGCTATCGCATCGTAAGAAAACATTTTCGGATCAGACAGTTGCTCTCAGTGCACAAGGAGGCTGTGACTCAGGGCGGTCCATGTTAAGAAGTAGTTAAGCTGCTGTGTGTGGTGGTACCCACTTGTGGTCCTGCTGCTAAGGAGGCTGAAGCAGGAGAGCCACCAGTTTGAGGAGCACACAGTAAGGGTTGTGTCTCAAAAATCCAGAGTTAGGTATGTAGTTCAATGGTGGAGTGCCAGCCTACCACACTCAAGGCACTAGGTTCCCACCAGGGCACAGAAAGATGGAGGGGGTGCAGGGAGGAAGTGGAAGTAAATAAGGGAGGGAGGGAAGAGGGAAGAAAAGGAAGGAGGGAAGCTGAGTTGAGGATTGAGTCTGTGCTCTAGGAGCCCTAACATTGTCACTCTGCTCCATCAAACTGTCCCCACTTTGTGTGTGTGTGTGGGGAATCTGTTCCCAGAAGCATGCCAGCTGACTTCCATCTGTTGAACAGATAACGTTGTGTAGCCAGAGTCATGTGGGGTCTCTTCAGACAGGGGACTCTGAAAGGCTAAAACTCACCCTCTGTCCAGCTCCTAAGAAAGAGGCACGAATTTAACAATGTAATCAGATTCCTGTGGCATAAAATAGAAAATAAATGGGAAAATCAGAGTGATTAGAGGCAGCCAGAGAAGCGGACTCAGGATGAATGTTAGAAGCCGCAGGGATGGGTGCGAATATCAAGCATGTGTTGGCAGGGCAGGGGTGAAGATGGAGGAGAGGAGCCTAGCAGCTCCCTTGGTAACAGGCTGGACCACGCTAAGCCTCTTAGAACAACTCAGGATGACTCAGTATCCTATAGGCTATGCATAATCCTTGGGCTTCAAGGATGGTGAAAGGAAGAAATGCACAAGGGGCAGTTTGTCCTCCACGACACTGTCGGCTTCAGTTATGTGACCCTCTGTTCAAATGAATCAAGTGGAAAACAAGCCAGAAGGAAACAACTTGGGAGTTTTACATAACTTCCTTTATAGTGCATTACTGTGATCACCTTATTCAGCTATTAGTTGTTTTACTGTGGCTCACTTGTAAAGCAAACGTTTTCACAGGTGTGTGTATAAGAAAAGAAACTTCTGTATCTGTGGGATCCGCATTTGCGGAGCCAACCAACGACCAACTGAAAATGTTCCTTTTAAATGCAATGTGCAGGCTGCGGAGATAGCTCAGAGGGTAAAGTGCTTGCCTTGTACACATAAGGTCTTGGGTTCAGTCCCCAGGGCGTGCACACTTGTAATCTCATGAGCTAGGGAGCTGGAGAAAGGAGAATGCCTAAAGCTGTACGGCTGGCCAGTCTACTTGGTGAGCTCCAATGTAAATGAGAGATGCTGTTCCAAAAATAAAGAAGAAACTGCAAAAGACCAACAAATAAACAACAGAAATCCCAAGACAGACAGTGCCCAGAGAATGACACCTGCAGTGGTCCCCTTGCCCGTACATATATGATACATGGACCTGCACCCATGCGTGTACACGCAAAATACAACTGCTGAGCATGTACAGACATTTCCCCGCTGTTGGGCTCTAAACTTCATTACCTCTACTGCACTGAGTGTTATAAATAACCTACTGAGTTGGTCTACGGTCTGTGGGAGAAGGTTGGAAACCATGAGCAAGATCTCTGCCTTTGCTATAAGGAACATAGACACTCATGATGAGCGCATGCGTGGGGAGGAGTGACTGTGTTGCAGAGGGCAGTGCTACCTGACTTCATGCAACTTCAATATTGGAAAGGGTTCCTGAAAGGGAGGGGCTATTGATTTT